ATTCCAGAGCTGCGCTGGCAGTGGATTCCTTTCGTACTACAATTAACAGTGCCTAAGATGGTTATGAGCATTGCATTCCAATAGACTGAAGTTTATCAGTTGAACAACTGAGCCAAGGATGAGGACAACACACATTTGAAATCTCTAAGAGTGTTTCTCGCTGAGATAGCCCAGCAAAGGTCTGCAATGGCCATATCCGGTGATTGAACGGAGTTTTCCGTCTATCTACAGAGCAAGTTCTGTGTTTCCGGCTGCCGTGCAGGCCTGCCCCCAGTGCCCTGCCAGCGTGTTTACACCCTGACATGGAGGGACCAGCGGAGGGTGAGGAAGTGCTTTGCTCTCCATGCCCATCCCATGCTTGTTGGTTAGCTGAGACTGACCATGGGTGCAGAGGATGGTTCGGGGAATTGGGGATCTACAGAGAAATCCCTCCATCTGCACACAGAGGCAAACTCATGTTGCCTGGCAACTCACCCACCCAACACTACCACCCTCAACCCCATTGAGACCAGAAAGAGAAGCCTTTATGTGCTCTGGGACCCAAACCCATGCTGACAACCCACCCATCCAGCATTCTAGTAAAGCACAAGGCATAGAAAGACACACTCTAGAGCATCCTCATCTACTACATCACTGGTGAGAGTAAACATTTCCTATAAATCAATACATGAATATTTTAATGCCTTGACTTAAGACCCTCAAGTCAAAACTGACTTCTTAGAGTGGGTTATCCCCAAGGCAAATCTGAGAGAAGAAACTTGTAGCTGCTTGCCTCATTTTTTCCCCACAGATCCCCAAAGGGTAGTGTGGTCTTCTCAATTTGACAGTTCTCTGGAATGGGTTCTTATGTGAATTCAGCTGCCACTTTCTGATCTCTACTGAGAAAATAAAATGACAGAAATGGAAACATTTAAATATTTTTAAAAGGCCATGAACTCCATATTTTATACTATCTTTCTATTCATTTGTAATAATGCTGAATTCCTATTTAGCAAATAAATGTTAGAAAGATTCCCAGTCCCTACTGCCTCTATTGCTAGAAAGACAAGTTATTTACAAGTCTTGTTACTTTTCGTGATTTTCATACTGCGATCTGGAACGAAGAGGGTTGTTAACAGTAGCTGACTCCAATGCCTGTCACATGATGAACTCTGTATAAATATAAACTTTTCCATTTCTTACAGGCCAAGGAGTTATTTCCTCTAAGTATGCTTCTCAAGCTGTTTGCCATGTGTACTTACACTATATTCCCTTCCATGGCCGGGATATAGTGGGACATACGGGGGGCTACAAAAGAAAGTCATTGTCTCTCATGAGATGGCCCTCTCTTTAGATATCCCTGGCTGTGACCTCAGCCACCCTGAGGGAGTTCATGATCTGTGTCTACTGTAAGACAACTCGTCCACCTCTGACTCTGGAGAGCAGCTCCAGCCACCTCCCCCTGTTTCTGTTCCATTTGAACCCCTAGCTACAACGTCTTTGGTGCTTGACTTAGGAAACTGAACTAGAAGCACAAGGCCAACATGGCCTCTCCTGCCTTCTCCCATGCCTCACTATGTTCTGATCCACAAGCAGACTACATTTCATTGTCTGCATCTTGCTTGTGGCAGACAGAAGAGGTCCAGAAGTGGCTGTGATGTACACACCTGCCCTCTTTCCCTCAGCTTGGGCCCCAGCCACCCTAAGGTCCAGACCACCATATTCGCTCCCATTGCATTCAGTACTGCAATTTGGGCTATTGCCTGTGCTTTTCCTCCTGCTCTGGCTCTTCGCAGACTCTTAGCCTTCTGTCACATCTCTGATTTGAGGAAGGGAAGGAAAGTTTGGTTTGCAGAGATGCTCAAACCTTTTCATACATTGGAGTCACCTGTAGCCCTTGTGGGAACATTCATTGGCCCCACCAAAGAGTTCCCCTTCCAGTACACAGAGCTGGCTTCCTGGGCTGCAACCTCACATTCGGAAGAGACCCATACTTCATTTCCCAATCTCCTGTTGCAATCTTGAAATTCCTCATCTCTTTTGTAGCATGGTGCCCTGCATGCTCATTTTGTACTGGGCTTTGCAAAGGAGGTAGCCAGTCCTGCCAGTGAGTCCAGAGTGAAAGTCCGGAGTTTTAGATCTCCAACAAGTTCTCCACTGATACTACCACAGGGAATCACTTTCTCATCTCACAACCCTTAAATGAACTTTTGCAGAAACAACTCAAAGAAAAAGGGGAAGGGACAATGGCCTTCTGCCTCTTGCTCACTTGCTCTACTTGATGGGCTCCTGTAAGATCTATGACCATAGAGAAGGAATTGCTGAAGCAACTCCAGTTACTTTCCTGATTGTTGTCATTGTCCTTGTTTTGTTTTCACCAAAGCAAACGCTCTCATGAGGCATATTGCTTTTCCTGCACCCTTCCCCAACAGTTAATGTAAGTATGATTTTCCCTGTCTGTACATCAGTCCAAAATCACTTTTCTGAAGGAACTATAAAACCATAAAATGGGATAGTAGCACAGTAAGTAATTTGAGGAGTTGGGAGAAGGAAAACAACAGAAATAATGATAAAATGTATGCAAAACACACACAGGCCAAGCTGCTCTACACCAACTCAAGTGGCGCTGTATTTCTTTTGAGCCTCACAGCAATCACTGCAGACAGAAATACATGATTTATTACATGACTCATGGTTCCATAGGGCAAAAATAACCTGTTGTCAGAGGACTGCCAAATGTCCCTAGTACTTTAACTGGGAAACTTTTTTCCATGGTATGTCTTTCTTTATGCATACAACACCCGATAGAACCTGCGATATTTTGTATTCTCTTCTGAGGGCTTCTTTTTGTGTGTGTGACACAAGGTTTCACTATGTAGTGCAGGCTGGCCTTGAACTCTTAGTGATCCCCCCGCCTTGGCCTCCCAAGTGCTAAGATTATAGACACGTGCCACTCGTCTGTGTGTTAGATAAGACAGATGCGACATCATTGTTGTGGCCTCTGGGAGCTAAAATATGACCTTCCCAAAACTTCCTCTCTCAATAGGAGAAGGTAAAACCGAACCACTTGTAGCCCTGGTGGTCTTTAAAAACATTACGTAAAATAAGGCTTTCCGTACTTACTATTGTTGCCATAAAACCATGACTTATTCTTACTGAGAAGATATAAGATATTTTCATTAATGACTGAGGCACTATCACCTGAGCAGAGAACACAAACGAAATTAGCCCACTAATCCAACTGGCAGTCCTGTTCCAAACGCAGAACCCTGATTCTGAACTGAGCTCTGTGTTAGCCCACATTCGATTTTCCTCAAGTGTGTAAACTTTTCTCAACCAGAGTCACTGCCCCGTGGCAACAGACAAGTGTTCATTTTGTTTTGTTTTCTGCTCCCTCAGCTAGAAATAGGGAGATTTTTGCCTTTTAATTAGATATAGTGGTTGAATAGCCCACCACACTTTCCAGCAGAAATAGTTAAGTTCCTTTGATTCTTTTTTCTTCAAATTCATTGGCGTCCTAAAGCTCTGGAAAATCGTCCTCATGGTTGTCCCCTGGCTCCTACCCACTAGATTGTCTGATATCAGTTCAAAGGAGAGGCAAGGAAAGGACTGATGTTTTCCATGTGGGTAGGAAATGTGCTGGGCAAAGCACTGGAGCCCTGGCTGCCTCCGTGACAGGCACGGCCTATTACAGATCCTGGGATGTTTTCCCCTGGGTGCTAACCCTTGCCGGAACCCCAAGAGAAAGCTTGGTCCCCTGGGAGTGTGATGTGGCCTCTAGTTTGCATGCTTGGTTGGGAAGGGATTGTACAGGGCTGTTTATCTTCTTAAAGCCACAAAGATTTTTATTTTGAAATAGTCAACCAAAAGAAAGCAAAGAGTAGTAAAGTGGAATTTGGGAGGCCAAAGGAGCAGGTTCTGGGATTTCTAACCAACCTCTGATCATTTCCCTTTAAGATGTTGTCAGGGCCACTGTTTTGAGGAAGGTAGAAAATAAAGATGTTTCCAGGTAAGATTTTTCTCAGTCTTTTCATATCGCCGAAGTTCTGTTTTCCTGTTCCATTTACATTTTCACTGTTATTTCTGTTGCTGTGACAACTCCCTCACTCCTGCACATGCTAATAGTATGCTAATTAGCACACCGTATGTCAGTGTGTAAAAGCATCAGTGCCTTGCAGAATCAGTTGAAGTGTATTTAAATACAGTAGGTTCTTAATGATGGTCATATACTTATGTTTCGGGCCACATGGAACCTTCTCACCAGTGGCATCGTCATCCGTCATCAGCATCATCTTCTTCATCATCATCATCATCATCATCACAGGAAAGAGAAATTTATTTACACTAAGTATTTAGAAGAGAAAGAAAAGCTATCCATAAAGGCATACTAAACTTCCAGTAATGTGTCAGCCATGGTTTTATCTGAACTATTTCGACTGAGTATATTGAAGGTGAAAGAGTTAGCTACCAGTTTTTCCTTAGTAGCTAGCCACCATCAGGATTCAATTTTTAAATGGAATCAGGACTCGATCCAGGAGGCACTTCAGTGAGGCACGTTGGCGAGCACGGGGATCCATCTCTGTTTCATTTTCTGTCCTTCCCTTGGCGGACACTTCCTGTTACATCTGTCGTTTCGCCGCCCTCTGCCGGTTGCACTTTGGCAGATACACGGATCCTTTTGATCTCCTTCTGGCGCCCTGCCTGCCGTTTTAATTTCATTTGTTAGGTTGCACTGCCATCTGCTGGCCTCATATTGCCGTGGAATTTTTACTCCTCCCGCCTTCTCAGGTGTCCTTTCTTGTTACATTTGTTGTGTTTTGCTGCCATCTACCGTTCATTTTGGGGAAACGCATTCCCCTAATTAATGCAGAGATGTTGAAACATTGCTCAAAGGGTCTTTTTGTTTCAGCCCCAGTGTCCATGCGTTCTCCTCCTGTCATTTGTGTAATGGTCATATTATTTGAATCTGGTCATTCATGGTTTCACACGCTCACACTCCTGCCATTGTCTCGTTGTGCCAGAAGCCCTGACATGCTACAGTCGGAAGTTTCCTTTTCCCTGGGAGGGAGGCATTCATCCACAGACTCCAACAAGGCCTCCAGTGGAGACATCTCCCCTTATGACAACAACTCCCCCGTGCTACCGGAGCGCTCCCTGCTGGCTATGCAAGAGGACAGGGCCCCGGGGGGCTCAGAAAAGCTTTACAAGGTGCCAGAGCAGTATATGCTGGTGGGCCACTTGCCGTCGTCAAAGTCAAAGTCAAGGGAAAGTTCTCCTGGACCAAGGCTTGGAAAAGGTAATGGAAGCCTGGCTGGCCCTGACCAAGCCAAGTGACTCTCTTGCTGCATGAGGAGCCGTATGGGGTGCTTTAGGGCTCCTCTTCGTTTGCCCCTTGTTCGATGTTTCTGTAATTTCATGAGCATTTGCTGAACACCTACTCTAGGAAGAGGAAAGGGTGGAGTTTAGGGTGAGGCCTTGGAGGGTCCCTGCTGCCCATGTTCTGATTCTCAGACATCTAGGAAATGAGCACATGCCTGGAGGAGCTACTCATATTCCTAGCTTCTCTCATCAGGATCCCAGGATTTGGGGTCCTGGGTAGTGGGGTAGAGGCTACATATTTGCTAGTCTAACATGTCACCCAATGACTGCTGTTACTTTCCTATAAAAGAAGGAGCAGAACTCACTGTGTAACAAGACAGCATGTCAGAACCAGACGGTGTCAGAGGCCGGTGACCAGAGCACGGGACTTGGAGTCAGAAACTTGGTCTACCATTTGCTACCTGCAAGTTCTCCAATGACTAGCTGAGCTCTGCACAGGCCCAGGCCCGCTGCTGTGGAAACTATGAGTGATGACACTGGCCGAATCACTGAGATAAATGGACTAATCCAGGAAAAGCCCTGTAGGCAGTGCTTAGTCTGTTACCCAGGCTAGGTTTCCCACCTCTCCTTCCCCTAGTGGCTCCTCTGTCCTTGGAGCTCCAGGGAGTCAGAGAGACAATGAGGGGGAGCTTCCATGGGGCACCAGGTAGCTATCATCTCACCTCACCATGGGGAGTAAGAGGGAGGGAAGTAGCTGGTGGAAATGCTCAGCATGGCATCTTCCTCCACAGCTCTTGATGCACAGACTGAGGGGAGACCGACGAAGGAGCAGAGGCAGCAATGCATCTATGCGTGCCACTAGCAGAGTGCTCCTGAGCACAGTTCAAAACCTATTGCTGCTGTTTGTCTCCCATGTTAATGTAGTTGAAGACCGCGAGGCTACTGGTGGCCTTTACATGAGTTTGCTCCTACCGGTGTCATGAACCCGCACAAACTTGGTGGCCTAAAACACACAAGTTTCCTGTCTTAGAGTTCTGCAGGGCCGAAGTTTCCAATATGTCTGCAAGGCTGTCTTCTTTTCTGGAAACTCTAGGGAACAACCTGCCTCCTTGCCTTTTGCCACTTTCTAGGGGCTTCTGTATTCCTTCCCTTTTTGCTCCTTCCTTCATCTTTGAAGGCACCGGTGGAGCAGCTTCTTCCTCCTGCCTGCCTCCTAGATGGACCCTTGTACGGGCCTAGCCTGAGGCCTGTGGCGAGATCAGCTCGTGCCAAGAACCAAAATTCAATTACATCTGAAAAATCCTTCTTGATTTTAAAATAACATTATTATAGGTTGTAGAGATGGTGATACAGGTATCTTTGGGGACCCTTATGTTGTCTACCCCAACCGTGATTTAGAAAAAGCTTTTTGGTAAATTCTGAATAAAATAGGCCTCCTGAAAAAGCAGGTTTGAAGTGTATGTTGTAATGCAATCTCAAAGACTTTTGCACAGAAGAGATGTCATTCAAATATTGTAGGTCATTTTTCCCTTAAAATTCCATTTTGTGTTGACATCTTTTCATACTCTCTTTTCTAGATATGTCAGAGGAACCTTTCAATATCTGGGGAACTTGGCATTCAACATTAAAAAGTGGATCCAAAGACCCAGGAATGACAGGTAGAGTTTCACTTGAAAACTTCACTGCTGTTTTGCAAATTAATTTTCTGTAGTTTTTGCCTTGTTATGATCATCTTAACATGCTTGTCAAGTTATTATTTGGAAAATACTGCAACTGGGGATGGGAAGGGTAAACTATCTTTTGTTTTTCTACACTAATATGCCAATCTTGGACTCTATTTCACTCCATTTCTTTCCTGAAATATAAATTGGTGACAAAGCTGTTTTATTCAGTGTGACAACTCAGCTGACCTGTCAGAGTCTAAACATATGTTTGAATGCAGCACAAATTGTGCCCATAATTAAAAAGCATCTGTCATTTCTTTTGCTAGGAAATGTGGTGTTGGGGGGGGGGGGTTAAGGAGCAGCCCCTAAGTAGGTACTGTACTTCTTCAGTTGTAGAAGTCCTCAGTGGGAAGCAAGTCACAAGACTCTAATCCTCAAGGGCAAACTAATCCCAGTTCTTGCCTTTTTTGCTCTCAGGTTCCTATGGCGACATTTTTGAAAGCAGCTCCCTCCGACCAGGGCCCTGTTCCCTTTCTCAAGGGAACCTGTCCCTGAACTGGCCCCGGTGGCAAGGGAGCCCTGCAGAGCTGGATAGAGGCACTCAGGTCATTCGCAGGACTCAGACGGCGGCCACGGTGGCGCCCTGCAGCGTGCACGTTCCGGTGTCGCGGGTCTGCAGCACCCCCCACATTCAAGCGGGTGGCGGCGGGCCAGGGGGGCGGCCAGCGGCCAGGTCCGAGCCCTACCTGACCCTGAGCAGCACCGAGGACCTCGCCGAGGCAGAGGCCGAGCGCGACGGGGCGTGGCTGCCCGGCCGGCCCCGGCCTGGGGCCCAGAGACCTCGGGAGGGCGGCAGGGATGATCGCAGGCCCCCGCCGCCCTACCCGGGCCCGGGGAAGCCCCCGGAGCCGCCCTTGTGGCGGCTGCAGAGGCCAGAGGAAGGCTCCGGATCGGCCTCGGACCAGGGGGGCCCGTCCGCCGAGCGGGAGCCTCGGGCCGCGCCCAGAAAACTGAGCAGCGAGCAGAGCGGCCAGAACTTGGGGGAAGCCAGCTGGCTCGACTGGCAGCGAGAGCGGTGGCAGATCTGGGAGCTCCTGTCCACTGAAAACCCCGACGCCCTCCCGGAGACTCTGGTGTGAGCCCACCCACTGCAGCCAGCAGGAGCCCGCGCCCTCTCAGAAGTCCCTTCTTCTGTCCCCTTCCGTCCAGCCGGCCACAGGTGCTGCTGGACATTGGACACGTCCTCCCTTCCCTCCTTTCACGTGTTACAAAAGCACCACAAGAGAAACTGAGTCCACTTCTCCCGAGGCAGAGCACTCATCCCCTCACCATTTATGATAGGGTTCCATTGCGTAGCCAGCCTTAGGACAAATTCCAAACAGGTGACAAGATCCCATCGGAAAACACCCCACCTTGGCTCTGTATAAGACAAAACTCTTGCTTTAGTATAGCTTAATTGTATTTATGTGTCTTCAGTTTTGAATATTGTATATTCTGTAATAGATAATGTATGATAATCGAAATGATATATTCACAGAGAAAAAAGGAACAACTTTTTTTTAAAAAAATCACTTCACTTATATTACACCATGAGCTATATTAAGCAACGAGATTCTATAGAGTGTTCTAGAATATGCACAAGCTGGTTTCTGTGCTTTTGACATAGCTTCTTACCTGGGGACAGCCCTTTCTTCAATGCATAAGAAAAACACTAACCAAACAAAACAGAGTAAGAGAAGCCATATTTTTATATAGTAGTGAGATACAGAAGTTATAATCACTGAATGCTTTTTCATATTGAGTAAGTTTTAAGGAAAATGTTCAATTTGATACACAAAGAAATATATTTTTGGAACATGTTCAGAAAGGATTCAGTTAATCAAAAGAGAGTAAAGCCGTGCATAACAAAGAATAATTAATTTGTTCATCCCATTTTAGGTCAAATTCAATTTTATATAGGCCATATATAATATATATTTATAGTGTACAACTTTTATGTATTTTTCAAAACCACAAACTGGAATCCAGCTAATAAAGTGTTTAAGAATCTAAACAGACCATTCGAATTACAGAATGCGATTTTTCCTTTGGCTCTGCAATCAATATTAACCAAATTGAGTACCATTCTTTTTCGTAAAGTAAATCATATTGTGGGAGAGAAAAACTGCAGTTTTGTCCTTACATTGTGCCAAAGACTGAGGAAATGTTTTCTTCGTAATTTTATGTGTATTGTAAAAGTGTTCCTACCATACATATGTCAGTAGATTGAAGTTTTTCAGCCACAAAAGCTCCTGTGACCAACAGGTGACAGTTTTGCCTCAGTATTTTGAATTTTTTTTTTTCATTTCAGAAGGGAAAGTGTAATATAGAAAAAGAAAATTTTTTATAAAATGTGCTACTCTTAATTTTCATGTTGGTGATAAAATTTTCAGTGGTGTTTCTTAAAGTTCTATCTTGTGCCATGATGAATAAAATATTAAGAAAAAAGCATTGTTCTCTGATTTCTCCTTTTTTTTTTATAAAGGGGATTGAACTCATGACCTCACACTTGCCAGGCAGGCACTTACACCACTGAGCTAAATCCTCAGCTGTTTGTTCCCTGAATTAAATCTAATGAATGAACTCACATTCCATGCCAGCCATGTTTACTACCCACAAGTCCAGGCGTGATAAACAATAGAACTCTATGCATATCTATATTTAGCTAAAGAGCTAGTATTTTTTTTTTTTTTTTTTTTTGAGCCAGAGTCTATCTATATAGTCAGGCTGGCCTTGAACTCACAAGGATCCTGTTGCTTCAGCCTTCCCGATGCTGGGATTACACCATGCCTGGATACAAAGCTAATTTTTAAAAAGTCAGATTCCTTGGAGATATCAGCTCAGTAGCATCAAAGCACTTAGAAATGTGTAATTATCAGTTGCAAAGAAGGCTTATTTCCTGAATTGTTGGACATAACGTTGTTTTCTAATGACTGAAACTCAGGATCTCACTGGATGGGCTTAGATGCCTACTTTGCTTCAGTGCCAAAATAATGAGACCTAAAAGTTGCCTGTCATTTTTCACATTTGGGGACTGGATGAGCTATCCTCAGGCTCTGCCCCTGAGTCCAGCACTTCTGCTACTGTCTCGGATTGCCTTCCTTCTGGCTGCCTGCCCTCGGTCGGCAGTTGGACACAGGACCCCGAGCAAATGCTATTTGATTGTAGATTGCAGGTGGCTTTTGTGTGCAACCAACTTTCACCTTACTCGGGTGTTTTCTTGTTTTGAATCTGACCAATTTTTTCACTTCCTCCTAGACTATATTACCTGATAGATGGGACCTCATTGCTGTATGTCTTTGATGTCATGGTCCTAGTTTTCCAAAAAAGATAAACCAAACAAAACAGCCTTTGAGATCAAATGTCCATGAGGTTAGTATCAGTCAAAAAGGTAACAAAAGATATGTCCATCTGTTAATAGGTATAAAAGAGACCATCTAGGAAACAGATTCAGAATATCCTTGGTATACATCTCAATACTCACTTTCACTTTCTCTGTGCACAGTTAAGCCCTGTGGCTGTATCTTTGGCTTAGTAAGCAAAACCTTGATTCTTGGATGCCTTTATCATACTGAAAACAAGCTGTCTTTAGAATGCACTTGAGATCCAAAGACCTGAGTAGAAATTGGGGTCATTGCTAGCAACATATTGCATGTGATATAATACCTGAGAGAAGCAACAAATAAAAGTCAAACTCTTTCAAGTTGGACAAACTCCCTTTCCCAGGCTGTTCAAATCACTCCTTCCTTATGAGCAAAAAAGAGATTCTACAAGCAAGAAAAAAAGCTGCAACACGCCACAGATGGTTCCGTGCCTATGAATACTCAATCACTGTTTTTGTGTGTCTGGAAATGGGGCCAGAGTGGTGATGGCAGAAACGGTCAAATATGCTTTTGTCTTGATCCCTCTAAGTAGCTATTAACATATGTTTGTTGTGGGTTTTTAAAGAAAAAGAAAATCTCTTAGACCAATGGAATGTGTGCAAATTGAGGAAATTTCTAAATAAACCCAGCTTGTTCCTTTTCTTATGCACATTTTAATACACATCTGCTTGGCAGAGAAATAGTGCTGAGATTAAATATAAAGAGATATCCGAACAAAGTCTGGGCCTGTGACGTGTATGTCAGTCTGATAAGCAAACTGCAGGAGGCAGTCTACTGAACTGAGAAATGACTGAAGTAGAGTCACACAGAGATTAAAACAGGATGCCCTGACCAGACAGAATTTTAAAACAAGACTAAATCAGCAGCAAGTCAACTTCAAGGGGGAAAAATTACAAACCAAAGGGAAGTTCCAATAGAGGTTGGAATTCTTGGGCATAGCCAAGGTGACAGATTGTAACCTGGAGATACCGAAGTGTAGACTGGGGTCTCTGGGGATGCAGATCCCTAGCCTGGGGTGGCCCTCAATTCACCAAGGTGCAGAGAGCCAGAATGTTTTCTGAATTCAATGCAAGCAGCATCTGTTCAGCATAAAGCAGTGAGTGCAAACCTATTGCATGTGAGCTTCAGGGGGCTGTTTGTTAAGCTTGGAAACTCTAAAAGGTTCACCACCACTGTTCCAGGGCCATCAACTCATCCCAGTTTGCCTGGGAACATCCTGGGTTTAGTAATAAAAGCTACATGCCCCAGGCACAGGCCCTGCTATGACCTGGCGGGTTGAGAACAGGGCAGAGGACACAGGGAACTGACCTTGGCACCTCTAAAGTAGGGTCATCAAATAAGATATGGGACACCCAGTTTGATTTGAATGCCAGACCAACAGTGGATTGGGTGCTGAGACACATTCATTTAAAATGATGCATGGCCTAATATGTTGCATGGGGCATCTTTATTTTAAGAAGAGATTCTTTGTTATCTGACATTCAGATAGCACTGAAAATCTATTTGCTAATTTGGCAACCCTAATCTCCAGCCTCGATAGCTTATTTGTTCCCAAGGAACCTGTTTGACACACTCACTGATTGTCCCACAGTGCCTCAATAGTCCTGAAGAACTAACTGTGTGCCTTGACTATTCCACAGAACATGTCCCCATTGGCCACCGCTCACCTCTTCGTGCAGGTGTCTCTCCCTATTGTCACCCGAAGCCTTGCCTGAGGTCCCAAACCTCTTGTTGCTCTGGAGGACGTGTCTCTTCTTTGTCCCTCCCCATTGTCTTATTCTGGCCCTTGTGCCCTCCATCTTGGAGCACTGGAGCAGCCCGGAATCTCTGCCCTCGCCTCTCTCCGCGGTACCACTAGGCTCAGAGCTCCGAAGTACACATCAGAAGCAGTCACTGTGTGAAAACCAGCAAGGCCCTCCTGTCCCTCTGGCTAAATACTCCAAGGAGACAGAACACACTCCACAATCCAGTCTCCCCTATCTCTCCCCAATATAGCACTCCGTACTCTGCCATGTGCCAGAGGAGAATTTCCCTCACAAATAAACCAATTTTGTATTTCTATTTTATGGGCTTTAAATGCCCTTCCTGCTGTTCTTATTCAATCAGCTGATGTTTTCTTGCAGAATCAGTTGCAATTCTTTGTTTTCTGCCAACACAATGATTCACAGCTTCTTCTAGTCCTTTGCACATGATTGTGGCCATGTTAGCAAGTGTTTCCTTATGTTATTATTAGTGTTTTACGTTTTTATCCGGAGGTTGTTTCCACTGTGTTCTTGACAGTGGAGACCAAGTCTTATTTTTTGTACTCCTTGACCAGTAGACACCTGACATCCTTTGGCACTTGATAAAAATTTGCCACACATAAGCATGTAAATATGATCAAGCAACTTATTGTGCAGTGAGTGGAGAAAAAGTACAAACTCATCAGCCTGCAGGCAAATGGAGAAGTAGGGGTGTGCTTTCTGAAATAACAGCTTTCAAAAACAGGAGACAGGTGAGGAAGAGCAGGAGGCGAGCAGAGTCAGTGCCTTTCAGCCTGTGCCCCTCTACAAAGACAGGTCACCTGTGTCCTGTGCTGATGACTGGAATAAAAACAATGAAGTTTCAAGGTGGCTTCAAAGTCAGAAATGACAGGCGCTGTGTCCTCCTCTCTCCATTGAGTTACTGTGTGACCACTGGCTAGGTACTTGAACTCACTGGCTCTGTTTTCTTAGAATGGCAGGGACATGCTAAGACTGAATTCCTAGGGGCATCTGACAAAATACTTGGGGCACAGCCACCCCCTAACACATAGATCACAGTGTCTATAATGCCCCACGTGAGATGATTTTAGAAACAAAATTTGGGTACTTCTGCCATGAAATGCAGGCACTACTGGCTAAAGTTTTTGAGCAACTTTAGATCCAAGTTGGTTTTCCCACATTCTCATTTAACTCCTCATTTTCTAGAGGACACCATAGATTCAGAGAGATCACGTGAGTTGCCTAAGGTTGCTCAGCTGGAAAAGAGCAGAACCAGGATGTGTCACAAGCTACTCAACTGTGCCACCTGCTGTTTGGAAAATGGAGTCAGCGTATCACAGCCCTTGGTCTCTCTCTCAGAGGACAAGGGTCATTTGGGAAGGGGAAGAGCTTCTCTCTGCCTCTGGGATAATCTGTGGCTTCAGGACTACCGGTATCCTCACAGAGGTAAGGAAAATGGAAGCTAAAATCAATAAAGGCCCAAAGAGAAGAGTTGAATTGAATCACAATTAATAATTATATCCATTTATATATTTATTAATAATATAATTAGAGTCCAGCATTGTCTCCAGATTTTTTTTTTGCTTCAAACAGCTATAAAAGCCATCTGATGACTTCATTAAATCAGATGATTGGCTGATGGCTTCATCCATTAATCTATTGGATCAATATTTAGCAGGGCCACACCGGCTGCCAATAAGCCCATTGCAGAAAGAGCAAAGATGAGTTTAGAATCCACCTTCACAGATAGTTCTGGTAAGAAAATGGTCAGTCATGTGAACAGTACTGTGAGAAATGTAGCAGATACTGCTAAGTTCCAGGAATCCAGCAAACAATCCAGTGACTGCTCCCTCGTAGGTAATCCACACACCATTGAACCTATGAGTTAGTAGACAAATCCTTTCATCCATCGACGCATCTGTCCCCAAGTGAAAAGTCAGAATGTCAATCATAGCACAAAGTGGTGCCTTCATTCTAAAGGGAGACATTTCCACAGGAAAGAGAGTTTGGGGCAGCGGAGCTGACATCCCTGGGAGGACTTGGCAGAGATTAAAGATGTTACACTTGCGATCAGGGTCAGCTTTCTGGCATGCTGCCCTGGAGCTACTTAAGTTTTTGTGCTGCTAATGCTGTCTTGAAATGTTCATTCTTTTCAATTCTGTTTTCATTTTTCACTGAACCCTACAAATGAGGTAGGCAAGTCTTGAGTAGAAACACACATCCTTGACTCTTCCACAAACTTTCCCAGCTGAATATAATCTCCAAATGTGAACTCACATAAAATTACCCCTGGTTCCATCCCAGAGGGGGATGTTTCTGATATACAAAACTCACTCCACTGATCACCTTCCATGCACTTCTCTTTCTGTCTCTGCCATCTTATTTTTAGTCTTCTTATTTGAGACAATTTCTTCGGTATTGAATTTTAACAAGTGGTTCTCTTGCTGCTATGCTCTGAGAGACAGGATGTGGGGCCTCTGGAGAGGTGACTAGGTCCTGAGCATGGAAACATGGGGTTTTTGTTCTTATAAAACAGATCTTTGCAGCTCCTTCACTCCTTCCTCCATGCAAGGACACAGAGAGCAGCACTGTCCATTAGGCAGAGCCCTCAGAGGACGCCAAATCTGCCAAACCGATCTCAAGCTTCCTGCCTTTAGAACTGTGACTAATCAGTATCTGTGAAGATCCCCAGGTCATGGTGTTTCGTTATAACAGCCTGAACAGAACAAGACACTCATATAATTCCAAGATCCAAATGTCATGCGAAAACAGAATCCTAAAGCCACAACTTTCCTTCTCCTAAACACTTCTGAAGCTGCTTTTCCAGGTTACTGGAGCAGAGCCTGAGGATCGGATCTAAAATGAGCTTGATAGGCTTGTAAAACAAAAGCATTCAGAACAGGATGGAGATCAGGGCTGAGGGAGAACAGGGCTTTACAGATCTAGAGGAGAGAAGCAAGGGTGCTGTCAACCTTTGCAGGACCATCCAGAATTATCCACAAGTTCCACCTGAGCTGGCCAACTAGGTGCACACTCCTTCACAACTCCCAGCTACAAACAGCCGGGCCCTTGCTTCCCCTTATACTGGGCTGGCTGCTTTAATCCCTCGGCCAGAGCTGAGCCTCCCACCTACCTGTAGGCAGGCCTTGGATAAGACTTTCTGCTAACAGCTGGGCATTGGGTAGTGAGACCTCGCTTGGTATCAATGTTGGACCAACGTTGAAATGGGAGGACAGGACCCTCAGATGTCCACCAAGGGAGAGGGCAAACCTGTTTTTTGTTTGTACAAAAATTAAGGACAGAATTAGAAACAGGCTGCTTTGTGCAGCAAGGAAACCTGGTAAATCAATACTCAGAGCCAAGTGTCAAATCACAGATGGCAGATGAGCCATCTGGTCCTTTTCCTCAGGCTGCTGGTGAGTCCTGCCCTCCCTCTCACCTCTCACCAAGACTTGCATCCGAAGCATGCATGAACTGTGCATCCTGTCTGAAGGCACCAAAGGTGCCGCGGCCATGAGCACAACAAAGCTGGCAGAAGTTGACACCTTCCCAGGGAGCAAAGCAGCCCTGGTTCATGATGTCACAGTGGAGCAAAGTGGCAGGTGAGCAGTGGAGCAATTCAGCAATGATGGCACTTTGTCTACAAGAAGGTGTCTACAAGAAGGATGAGCTGGGCTGGGAGTTTTTCACAGCCATTGCACAAAGGTTGAGTTTTGCGAGAGGTTGAATTGTCTTGGCTTCCACCCTTCACCCCTACAAATAGGTTCAAGTCCCAAACTCCAGTGCCTGTGAATATGGAAATAGGGTCTTTGCAGATTTTCCATCAAGAAGATGCTGGGGGCAGGGAGAATAATTCAATACAACTGGTATCCTAATAAAAAAGGGCAAAGATAGACATGCACACATTATATGGCCTTAGACCAAAGACATACCAGGAGTGAGCAGAAAAACTTGGAACAGATCCTCCCCAAGAGCCTTCAGCTGGAGTGTGGCCATGATGTCATCCTCATCTTGGACTTTTGGCTTTCATCTGTGGCACTTGGTTACTGCCACCCTGGCAGACTAATAAGGTGAGCAAAGGTCAAGTCCTGTTCATGGGAACAGCTACCACCAGCGCATTTTCCTTTTGCAACAATTCACATAGAAGCAGTACACAGTACAGGTGTTTTCTGTGAACTAGTTGCGAGTGGGGGAGACTTTTGTCTTCATTCTGTTGTCATTCTGCTCCGTGTCATCAATTCCAGAAGTCGTGGGAGATAAACTTTCCAAAGTTTTTGTTATTAAGACAAAACATGGTAAAAGTATGCCATGCTCAGGACTGAGGTGAGATGGGGAAATTCAGAGAAGAAATGGGGAATAAGCAAAGCAGGAAAAGGGCATTTGCTTTCATATCTGCTCGGAGCACTGACCCATGGCTATGTGAGCATGTGAAGACGGGGGTGGTGGAAGCTGAAAGGGCCCATGGGATACCCAGTGAAAGGGAGGTTCAAATCCCGGTCCCCAAGACCTGTGGCATCTGCATCTCCTGGCAACTCCTTACAAGGCAAATTCTCAGCCACCCTGGGCCTACAGCATCGGGAACTCTGGGCCAGGGCACAGTCATCTGCTTTAATAAGACTTAAATTTGAGAAGCACCTTGCTAAGGAAAACCAAAAAAGGAGAAGAGGGAAAGGCAGCAGGATTCCAAATGATGCTAATACAAAACTCTGCCCGAACAATTGTACTTTAAAAACCCAGCTGAAATTAAAACATACAATGGTTACTAGTTGCGTTTTAACTGAAAGCACATAAAAACCATTTGCTGATTTTCTCACAGAAAGCCAAGGTTGCTTGCTTTTCTGGGTGCTTTGGATCCACAGTGTCACTCTGTCCTTACATGAACCACATTCGTGGTGCTTTATCTACAACTCTGGCTCATTTTTTTAACAGAATATTTAAGAAACTAAAAGGCAGTAAACAAAGAATTACTCTGGATTTGTAAAAATATTTCCCAGGCCCATTCTTAATCATTCCTGACTATATAAGGACTTGGCTTCCACATTTACATGGCTTCATTTTAGATCAGGAAGCTCAGGAGCTTAATGCTAATCTTTATTTTTGTCAAGTAGAATTTGTACATTAAGCAAATCACATCACCATGTTTCTATTTTTTAATGGATCTCCTATACTGATTTAAAGAATATCAGCAGTTTAATGAACTCTCATATACTGTACTTCATGATACTTAAAACTGACCCAAGACAGGACCAGTGTCTGCTGTTAGCCTTTAAAAAGAATTTTGTTGGGGGAGTAGGATGATGGGATGGGATCCTGTGAAGTCTGTCTCTGGTAGAGCACCCTAGTAGACAGGTTTCCCAATATTGGGGAAAAAATAACTTAAACTTAGGTGAATTTGCAGCCCCTCCCAAGATTACCACCATGTTTTCTTTAAAGTGGAATTATACCAACACTTCTATGTCACTTGTAGACTACCCTCCAAAAGACCCAGCTTCCCACAAGTAGGGGACATACCTTTGGCAATTTTGCACTCTCAGTATGATGCTGAGTGGACACAAACACTTCAGGAATGTTAACTTGTGAATTCAGAGAAATATTAAATGTCGATGTGCAATCCCAGCCGGGACCTCCCTAGTCTGCTAATAGCCTGATGTATAGTGAGATGTTCTGCTTCTGAACAGTGCTAGTTTCACAGAAAAAGACTTGAAGTTTAAAATACCACATGGTCCAAAATGAATTTCATGGTACACATGAGAACTCCTATCAGAGCAAAGTCCTGCATGTAGTGAGGGGTGCGTATAACTGGGGACCTTGTCACGGAGTTTACCGAACAGTTTCCTTTCAACAATGTCTGCGTCAAAAAATGCCAGAGCTCTGAAAATAGGGTGAATCCTTGCATGAGGTTTTACCCTCCGTTTCCAATTACAATGCTTAGTTTCTCATAATGCCTTATCCTGTACTCAATCAATAGCATTTAGAACCAGAAAAGGCCAGCAGTAACTGGTTTTTGGTGTAGTTTAAAAATATGCAAGGAATAGATGAAAAAACGGCTTCCTCAAGTGGGGAAGACTCTGTAGATGAGTCTGAAGGAACAATTACTCAAAAAGTTACTACGAAAATATTTTTCAAATCCATTGACTATCAGCTTTATTTAAAAAATATAAATATTTGACATGTACAACTTAAAATTGTTGATTTTTTAAAATCCCACACAGAACTGACATAACAGAGAAATCCACAGCAAGATAATCATTCAGACTGCCAGTTCCATCCACTAATTTAACACTAGTTTTCAGGAAAAATGAAAGATTTAATGTTAACAGCAATGAAGAAAAAACAATGATTTGCAACATGCTGCTATAATTAGAATAACCAGTCTGTGGATTACTGAAACAAAGAATTCCAACAGCAAATTTAGAGCTTCCTTAAAACAAAAACAAATTCAAGACTCTGAATTGATGCAAATACTCTACATTTGAGGAAAAACACTCTTCTTGTGAACTTTAACCCACAGCCGAATGTCCTCATGGTTTACAGAGGGATCAGCTCTGGCTCTGTGACTTCAGCCGTGCTCTCAGGGTTTGGATTCAGCCGACTGGAAGGAAAGCTCCCCGGCTGGGAAGGAATGGAACTCCAGGTTGGGATGACCTGTCAAATGCCAGGGACAATGATACCTGTTTTGGGGGAAGCAGACTTACAAATTAGAATTATAGGAATAAAGAGGAAAAATTTAAAGTTAAAATACGTGTTCAAAATATGTGGATTACTGCTTCCCGGTGGCTTAAATTTCTATAACAAGGTCCGGTGTGAAAAACTCACTTAATGAAAATTTGGAGAGCTGAGACATGCTTATTCTTGCTGAATACATTTGCAGTATATACCTTTACATTTCATTCAGGGCTACTACTACATTGCAGGGTCTTTAGAATTGCTGGTCATTTTTTAAAAAGTGTAACTATGTCTTGTTTCTAAGTTTCAGTTATAATACTTGACCACGAAAAAGTTCATGAACATTGCACTGAATTTCAGGTTTTACATCTCATTCCTGAAAAAAACAAGACAACTCTGAACATTTTTCAAAAGTTCTTTTACAGCAGTTAAGACTTTTTTTAGATGAACTAAACAAGCAATAGCGAAGTTAAAGGGAAAGCCAAAAGACTGCTGCCCACCTGAATGAAGAGGGAGGAAAACTTAAAATGGTCTGCTATGGAGTGCAAGGCAAACAGGACTCAGAGGTTAATGGAGAGGGTGTCTCTCACTAAGTAAACGATGAAATGTGTCTGCCCACTTCAAACTCTTCTTAAATCATGAGTGGGACTCAGTTTAGGGAAATAGTATAATGTACACTTCAGAAAAAAAATAGTTTATATTTTTCCATCACAAATAAAACATTGGTTATGACGTCCAGCGCCACCAAGCAACCTTCATTCTGTCCCATACAGCAGAAAGCGAATCCAAGGCGGGGCGCACATCCAGGATGGTGAACTGGTAGTTCTCGTTCACTTCGCCACCATCATAGTAATCGATCACGTATCTAACTTCCGTCCCGCAGCGGTTGATGATCCAATCATGCCTGTCAAAAGGCAACTCATACCTAGGAGAGAATGCCGGTGAGTGCTAAGGGCTGCTTGTGCATTGGGTCCTGGTTTAAAGAGCACGAGAGACTGAGAACCAGCACCTGCCTGCTTCCTGTAGTACACAGCTACCCAGGAAAGTGAGGTGCAGAGTTGCAGTCTAAGCGCTAAGGGGACATGGCACTAAAGAACAGTGGTGAGTCCAGATCAGGTGACAGCTCATTTGTCTACAAAGGAGTAACCTCCATGGGAAACAGACCAGGAGAGAAGGTCAGCTGAGCCTGCAGCAGCGCGTGCGTGCTAATGCTCTGAGCTGTACCGGGGAGGGGCACTACGTGGACGGATCCAATAATTACAAGAGTGAGAGGAAGGGTCCAAGAATATAGAACTCTGTTGAGTCCTTCAATAGCACCCTCACCTTACAGCTATATCCTAACTGACCCGCCCAATCAATGAGTGAACTTCAGAGAGAGGAAACCTGCAGCTGAATACTGAATTTTAGAAGACAGAACGGTAGTTCTTAGGTTCTTTGGTTCTGGTGCCAACAGAAAGCTGGTTCTGCTCTGAGGAATGTAAAATAATATCTCTGCAGACACTTACCCCATCCAGGAACGAATTTTGGCCCTTGGTGAATACTGCTTTGCTTTCCCTCCGAATCGGATCAATGAGGGACCACAAGGACACTCCCTAGAAACCGTAAAGAAATCTCCTAAACATTTTCTTTCCTGTGACAAAGATGATCTTCCAGTTCGTCAGTAATATACATGTTTCAGTATATGTATTAGACAACATTTACAGAGAATGGTAAGTGTGAGAACAATTCAAAGGCCTTTTTCCTGTTGGTTGTGAAGGTTCCTCTTTGCTTCTGGGTCATGTACATTTCAACCTCATCCCTCTCCTCCAGACATCTGCACTGAGTCTCCGCAGCAGCCAGGCATCAGGGCCTTTCCACATGGAGCAGGGGGGTGGGGGCATTCTCAGAAAGAACTTCTCTTTCACATAGATGAGCGGGGCTTCTTGTCAGACAAACACAAGTAAGTTCTGCACGCTCAGCCTTCTGTATTTGTGGGCTTCAGAACCACAGACTCAAACAACTGCAGAGTGAACATACTTGGGAGAAACAAAACTGCACTTGTACTAAACACAGAGAGGTTTTTACACTGCATAGGTATTGTAAGTAATGCAGAGATGATTTAAAGTATGAAGAAGGACATATACAGGTTACATGCAAATCAAAAGCCATTTTATACAAGGAACTTGAGCATCTGTAGATTCTGGTATCTTTGGGAGTCGGAATGAATCCTCCACAGATACTGTGGAACTACTGCTCTTTTATTTCACTTCAAACCAATTAACAGTCTTTATAAACCAAGAAAAATGATAGATGAATGCCTAAGACCTAGTTGCAATCAGTATTAGACTCGTTCCTTTGGCCAAGAGCTACACATAGAAGCTGAGGGGTAGAAAAGTCCTAGCTACAGAATTCATGTATGCTGCCCACAGATTCTGACTAAGGGCTCCCAAGAGTCAATCTTCTGCAGGCTCTGGGGTACCAGGCCTTGTAAAGGGCAAAGTCCAACCATATGACAGTCACAGAGCTTCTTCCCCAGTGGAGTAGGGAGGCAGTCAGGATACAAGTCCACTTGTTAGCATCCCCCTTGACAAACCAGAGTCTAGGCTTTACCTGTCTCTGTTAAATTTGAGAGAAAAAAGAGGAAGGCCCTTTCTTCCGCATGCTCAGCACAGGCAGAGAAAACCAGATCTGCCTCAGCCAGCTGGGCGCCACCACCAGCAGGACCTTTCCTCCAAGCACTCAGCATGGGCAAAGAGCCAGCCTGCCAGGCACTGCCACCAGAAGGACCTTTCCTCTGTGTGCCCAGGAGACAGATCCACCTCTGCCTGCTATGCACCACCACCAAAGCCCACATTCTGCAGGCACAGGCGGCCAGTGTGGAGAGACAGAAACATCATATTCACCTTCACCTTCAGGGAGCTGCCACCAGAAGTTTCCTTCCTGCAGGCAGCCAGCAGGAGCAGGGACACACAGCCAGGTAAGCCTTGTGCATCTGTAGGCCACCATTTGAGGCCCTTGGTTCCCTCAAGCAGCCATCATTCAGTAGCAGAATCACACTCCTGTGTCTGCCACCATCATGGGAATCCCAGTGTAGACACACAGGCTGAGAGAAGCATTCCCACCTCCATGCACCCCTGATCATCAGCAAAGCCCCTGTGTAGCTCCAGAGGTCTGGAGAAGCCTCCTCCATGCCCTGCAACCTCCTTGTAAATCTGGAATTAGAGGAACCCCAGGTGCCTGTCCCAACCCCCTACACTGCCTAGGGGCAGCCAACGTGGGAAGTGCCTGGGGCCTCACAACCAGCTTGTTGGGAGGAACCCAGGAGAATGTCAAGACAAGGAGCAAAAGGCAAACTCAGACCTCTGCTCCACACAGAGTAAGTCTGGGAGATAGTCATGGACGAAAACGGAAGTGGCACACCAGAAATCTCTAAGAGGCTAGCAACTGAAGTAAAGAAAACAACTTCATGAGATTGTAAAAGTAATCCAATCAGAAATAATGTCTCAGGTAAAAGAAGAAATCACAAACATACTGAAAGAATTGTTCAGCAGGTCTAAAGAAGACAGAGACAATAAAGAGGAGCATAGGAAAATGATGGAAACCTTGAATAGATGTAGAAAGTAATTACAATGCATGAAACAGATTCAAAAAGAAATGTAGGAAATTAAAAATTCAATCAAAAGCTGGCAAAACTGCTTGAAAGAGACTGAAGATAGATTTTCAAACCTTGAAGACAGGATTGCAGCTAGTGATCATGAAAGGAAAGATCTCTTAAAAATAACACAGAATCAGGAAATAATGGTTGCAAGATAATGCAGATAAGCATAATTTAAGAGTGATAGGTATCAATGAAGAAGCAGGGGTCAATACAAATGAAATTAAAAAGATATTCACAGAAGTACCAGAAGAAAACTTCCCAAACATGGGAAAAGGATCTGGCATGCAAATAAGGTAGCCTAGAGGACTCTAACTAGCCATAACCAAAGTAAATCTACACCCAGACATATAATAAAGATCCCAGAAATTCAGCACAAGAACTGAATATTAAAAGCTGTTAGAGAAAAGAGATAGATCACCTATAAAGGAAAACCAATCAGAATCACAGCAGGCTTGTCAACACAAACCATTAAGTCAAAAACAGTTTGGAGTGAAGTGTTTTAAACCCAAAGAAAACAACTTCCAACTCAGATTGATCTACCGAGCAAAACTATCTTTCAAAATGGATGGAAAAATAAGATACTTCCATGATAAAGAACAACTGAAGGAATTCATGACTACCAAACCAACCTTACAGAGAGTGCTAAAGAATATTCTAGAGAGAGATAAAGATGACCATGGTTCCAGGAACAGCAGCAGAAGAGGACTGTCAAACAAGACAGGCAATTCAATGAAGGGGAAAAGTGGAGGGTCAACAACAGAATGATAGCTAGGCAGAGACAATCCAATGTATGCTGGCTGTAACCATTAATGTAGATGGCCTCAGGTCAGCAATAAAAAGAAACACAGGGAGAGTGGATCAAGAAACAAGATCCAGGGGCTGGGGATTTAGCTCAGCAGCATAAGCATCTGCCTTGCAAGCAGGCTGTCGTGAGTTTGATCCCCGGTACCAGAAAAAAGAAAAGAAAAAAAAAAAAAAAGTGAAGAAACAAGACCCACCGATATACTGTATACAAGAAATACATCTAACTGGAAAGCAAATTCATACACTAAAAATCAAGGGAGAGAAAACAATTGTTCCATGTGACAGGCAACTAAAACAAAAAAAGCAAGAGTAACTTGTCCATCAACTGCAGAATGGGTAAGAAAGATATATATATTTCCATGCAGTAGAAAGCTACCTAGCTATAAAGTAGAATAATCTCAAGGCTCCTGTAGGTTAATGGATGCAAGTGAAGATCATATTCATGGTCGAAACAGTTCGAACTCATATGCGTGAACCCTAGCATAAGAAACAAAAGGAGTTAATGGGATCCAAAAACAAAGTAGTTAATGTAAGAGCAAGGGGGAGGAAATACCTAGGAGGGAAAGGTGGAAACTACTGTCAGTTTCTTATTGTCTCATCTTGAACTCTTGAATTGTTAACACAATTTTGTTAGGTTTGACTTTGTTCTGTCTTGTTTTGTTAGATTTCATGCTGTCAGATTGTAGGGGCCCCTATTATGAATATAATGGGGCACTTTATGGAAATCATGGTTTCCTATTATATTGCTTTGAAGTCTTATAATGCTTTCATACATTGGTTTTATTCTGTTTTGTTTGATTTTATTATGTGTGATGATATGAACAGCTATTTTAAAGAAAACATTATGGTAGCCATTGCTGATTTATTATCATCTTGTTTTGAAGTCCTACCATGCTTTTGTTCTTCTGTTTTGATTGGTTCTATTCTGGTGTGTTTTATCTGATTTTATTATGTGTGATGGTATAAACACATTTTTAGAGGAAAATGAGATATTATAGTAGCCATTGTTAATTTTCTGCTATTTGGTTTTTAAGTCCTATAATGCTTTCATTCTTTTGAATGGTTTTATACTACTTTTTTATGTTTGATATTATTGTGTGTGAAGGTAGGCTCAACTATTTCAAAGAAAAGAGACATTATGGTAGCTACTTTTGATATCTGGTTGTCTTGTGTTGTGTTGCTTGCATTGTTCTATTCTGATTTGCTTTGTTCTATTCTTCTGTTGTAGTCTCTTTAAAATAAAAAAATTAAAAACAGAGACAGAAAAGAATCCAGAGCAGCAAAAAAGAGCCCCATTCAAGGATCATGTGAACTACTGACTGCTTCTTTTAGAACTTGCTCCCTATCTCTTCTCAGGAGGATATCACGACAAAGAAGGAAAGTCAGTCTAAGCAAACTTTCTCCTAGAGACCTCTGTGTAGCTTCTGCAACACACTTCTCCGGCCTGCACCATGGGTGGTACCTGCATGACTGTTCCATGCAGCCCACACCATTCAACGGGACTGTCCCATGGTGCCTGTTTGGACAGTTAGGCATACCACTAGTGGATGAGTCACCCAGCAGTAAGATGCAGGAATCACGGGCCAGTGTGAAGGTGTTAAGAGCCTATCTAATTCTGCGTGACCTCTAGAAGATGACTTGGGAAGGAGCTGAAACCAACAAACTGCGGTGTCCCTTTGCTCTTGTCCCATAATCAAACTATAAGTAATCAGCAGGTGGTTTTGATTAGAGCACACTTTCAACTTCAGTCACTGTAGACAATGTGTGGTGACCCAGAAGTTCACCCCTGTAGGCCACAGGTCACTGATGGAAACATGGTTGCAATGTTAGTCTCGCTTTTTGGGCACTGACCCCAGGCCTGGGGCCTGGCCAGTGACAGCCAGGAAGAGCTACTAGTGAACCACATTAAATATTAAAGTATTTAAAACAAACAAAGTGAACACCTTAAAAAAATCAGTCACTAGATTTTTGCCAAGAGACAAATGAGTCCCATTCTGTAAAGGGTCTGCCATGTGAAGGGGTGATTATGATGCGCTGTGTTTCTCTGCACAGACAGCTCCACTCCTGCTCCTCTGGAAGCAGAGTCCTGAACCAGTAGCAGCAGAATCGAGTGCTCTAGGAAAGCCATGTCTGGGCTCATCTCACATGCACTCGGTCAGACATGGTAAGGCTGGAGGTTGGCACTGAGGGTCGGAATAAACCTAGCTGGAATCTCGCCTCTGCCAGCACGTACCTGTCTGTATCTCCCTCCTTACCTCGAGAAAGGGGGCCCTTGGCAAGGCACCTCCTTGAGGATTCAATAAATGCTGCTGAAGAAACAAAACTGTTTCTCACTTCCCTTGGGGCAGACAGCACTTTAGTTTACTAGCTCTCTTCCCATGTGCTCTGCTTTTAATGGACAAAGACACTCCTTTCTGCGTGAATTGGGGCAAGGTAATGGCATCACGGGCCCTCTTCCTAGAGCAGGCGAGAAAAGGAGTCACAGTTTCCTGCTGGTGATTTCTGGGACAGTAGCTCCTGAAACTCAGCCAGCATTACATGCAAAAGTCAAAGCAGTCACATGAAGAGGCCAGGAGCAGGTGCTCTGGAGGATGGCCAGCATCATTTGCCTCTAGCCTATAGCTCTGTGCCAACCCTGACCACTGAGTCAGCAGCTGAGGCCCTGGATGTCAGGGAGCATCTATGCTCTGTCCTTTCCACATTCTGGACCCACCTGGTCCACAGCTGAATAAAATATTGCTACTTTTTTAACTTAAGAAGGGGGAATCTGCCCCGTAACAATTGTCACTGGATCGTGCCTGCTATGTGAATGTTTTATTTGAATAAAAAAGTATTTAAGTAAAATGTTAAATGTTAAAACTCTAGAAAGTTGAGACGACATAAAAAGATGCTACTTTTTTTTTTAAGATCTCAAACATACTTACGCAGCATGAAGGGCTTCCCACTTCAAAATCTCCTTCCAGGCCTGCTCGTTATTCTGATTGTGAATCTTTATGATATTATACATATCTTTCTGACTAATATCCTCATCCTTCCACTTCCACCTATGAAAGGACATTTGATAAAATTTGATAAATTCTACTGACAATGTCAAAAAGTTAATCCACACATTCATATGATGACTTATTAAACATTTCTCTTCATAAAAGAACTAAGAATGTTCATTTTCTCTGAATTTAATGGGTTTAAGACTTATTTTCAAGATTTACTCATGACTGGAACAGGCTATAAATCCAACATTACTATACCTAAGTACAGTGGAATCAAAGATTAAAGGTTCACCTTAGTCTCATTTCACTGAGTCTCTAAAAGCCAAATTTAAGAGAACCAACCATTTTTAAGGTGACACTTTAACAGCTGGAATTGTTGATTAATATGTCACTAATTTTTTCTAAGCATTTTATATAGTAGGTATTTTATTTTTAAAAACTATTACTGGCTATGATGAATAGATTTACATGTCAACCTGATGGAGTCATGGAATGCCCGGATACATGGCCAAACATTTTTCTTGGACAGTGGTGGCAAATCTATGACACACGTGCAACAGTGGGGGGTATTGCTGAAAACTCTAGAAGGTTGCCATCCCTGTCCTAGCCTATCAGTGAGGGGAATTTGAGTGAGATTACTGTGTGAAGCAGCAAACTGAGTACAACAGACTGCCCTACTCAACTGGACAAGTGGCACCCACTCAGTCACAGGCCTTCATGTAACAAAAGTAGGAAAGAAGGAACTCCTCCTGCCTGACTGCCAGAGCTGGGACATGAGTCTTCCCTGTGTTTGGACTTGCATGAAAACGCTGGCTCCTCCTGAGCTTTGTACCTGCCAGTTTACAGACCAGAACTGACTCTATTAGCTCTCCCAGTTTTTGGGGCTTTGAACTTGAACTAAAACTGGGTCTCTGCAGGTCTTAGGATGCGACGGCTTCCACAATCAGTTCTTTGTAACAGCTCCCTCCCTGCCTTCCGTCTTTTACACATATTTGCACATCCTGTTTGTTCTGTTTCTTTGCACTTCTGTTCTGATGGGTCTGAACATTCCATTGGTTACTATAACCTGATTACTCATAAAAAACTTACAGTATGATTTTGGGGAAACAAAACACTTTAACATTTAACTCACATACACATTTGATGAGTAAATTTATGTTCTAAATAATATGTTCACTTACCCTTTCCTTAACATTGCATTCCAGAACATCTGTTCTGAAGGGTAGACCCACTTTTTCTCAGAGTCTGCTCTTGGAATGGATGATTCTTCTCTGACCGTAGACAAAGCAAATGGCTGATCTGGGGCTGGTGTTTGATTAGGTGGTGGCATCTGAAGGAAACAAGTAATATGCTTTTTAAATGCTAGAATTATGTACAAAGTAAATACAGGTAATATGATTACTACAAGTTCTTCCTGGAAAGCGACTCATTTTGTGCAAAGCCCATGCTCCCCATTAAATGGGTGACATGAAAAATTCAAACCTCCCTGATATTCAGTTTTGAAGCTTCACAACTCTGAAGCTGTTTTTCCCCAAGTTCTCATAAAAGGTAAATAAATGGTAGTTAAGAGTTTTGGTCTCTCTCCTTTGAACAAACTTTGAAGCAATGGCACCAAGGAAAAAGAAGCAAAAGCAAATATGATGATCTGCAGGAATTTTTTTTTCTGTTTTTGAGACCAGGTCTTGTTATGTAGTTCAGCCTGGCCTTAAACTTACTATGTAGCCCAGGCTGGCCTCAAACTCATGGCAATCCTACTGTCTCAGCCTCCCGAGTGCTAGGATTACAGGTGAGCACCACCATACCCATCTGTTATCTTCAAGGCATTTCTAAAGACCTCCTCATGACAGGATTTTAAAAAACAACTATTTGCTCTTCACTCTTCTGAGGTATTCTCACAGACAACATGTACAATGCTATTTTTAAAAAATATTCTTTACTTTTATGATCCTGAAAATGCCTTCCCCCTTTCAGCTGAGCACAGGATAGAGATGGGTATTTGCATGTCAGCCCTGCCAGAGCAGAGGTGGGAAGAATCCCTTCTCACACACAGAAATGAGCAGCGCTATTACACCAACACCTAGCCTAAGAGGGGTCTCTCATCCTCAGCACTGCTGCCTTACAAGGCTAGACAGCTCTTAGTTGTGCGGGGGCTATTTTGAATACTGTAGATTGCTGAGTACCATCCTTGGTCTCTAACCCCTAGTACCATTCTTCCCTGGTTGTGACAACCAAAACTGTCTGTAATCATAGCTGACTCACCCCAGGGTGAGAACCACTGGCCTAGAACTTCTTTTCCAATCAGCAGTATGAGGGATTTTCTACCAGTTCCACACTAATAATGCAAAAGCTCAGCCACCACATGGCCCCTTGTTAGAATAATGATAAGAGCATGTCCAGTGTGGTAAGTACTACACTGCCTACAGGCCTTATCACCACAAGGTGTTTAAGGACACAGGGCTGAGGTGAGTGAGAGTCAGTTTTGCTCTGCTAATACCTAGCTGAGCGATGTTGGCTAATTGCTTGCCCTCTCACTCTCAGTATCTTCAGCTCTAAACTGAGGGCACTAAAAATACTATGTAAAGCTGTAATGAGGCTAAAGAAGAGAATGGGAAGTGCTTGGCTTAAATGCTAGGAAAAATGCCAAAACAGAAGCCAGCTGATGTTAATATTCTGATGACATAAAATAATCCCTTGGGGGAAGAGTCTGGATTTGTAAGATTCTAAATGTTGTAAACCACTAGGCCATTAGGGACAATCTAGATAAGTGATTTACTGGGGGTGCTCCAGGCAATGCCTAGACATCTTTGGCTATCACATTTTGGCTAATATTCTCCTGGAATCCAGTGCTTAGAGGCCAGGGATGCAACTGCACATCCTACAGGACACAGTACACAGTACACAGGTTGTCTTTGAGAGTACAAAAACATTCCTAAGATGTTCCAGAAAAAAGAGATGAGCATGGATTACCAGATTTGAAGGATCCAGGTTCTCCTTATCGGCCCTGGCATGGGTAAAGGGGCACTCCACATAGTCGTACGCTCGATCCTGGTGGGCAGGCACAGAGTAAGTTTTGCTGTCACTAGTTGGACTGGATGGTTCCTCACTTACTGGACAGCCTGAAATAAGATTAAAATGGTGTCACCTAGAAAGTACGACATCTGGCTCATTCTGTAGGGGCCCTAAAAAGGTGAAGTTCTGATTACAGTATGAAAAACTGGGCTTCTTCTGTTGAAAGCTGGCACAAACTAAGCTAGCTAACATTCAAAAATGCTGAAGATGAGAAGGCTTTGTAAACTTACTTTCCTATTCCCTAGCACATCTCCAGCAAAAATACACCAAAAAAATCTCAGCTGTGAGAGAATCTAAAGAAGGAGCCAGGCCACATTTCACCGTGTCTCCTTGACTTCCACTCATTATTTCCAGACAATCTCAGGCCTAGTGAGGAAGCAGTGGCAGTTCAAGCAGCCTTTACTGATGCACTCTCTCGGGTACTGGGAACAGGAGAAAAAAATGAGCAGAGGAGACTTCAGAGAGGCTGCTGGAGAAAAATCTCAGCACCACTCTTCTGTGTTTCACTCCAAGACACAGGAAAGTACCACTTGGCCAAGGTGCTATTCCTTATTGGCAGAGAGCAAGAGTTTAGCAAGAAAAAGCAGACATTAAAGAAAATGACCCACAACCCAATTAGGCCTCAGATGCTTCTAAAACGAGAAAACTGGTGCTTAATGAGTGGAACACCAGAAAGGGGAATTTATGCCCAAGGATCCAGGGTACTGATCCAGGCACGCCTTGGGACTAAGAAGCCAATCTTATTAAAGCTGAGAGAAAGGACAGACACCTGGAGAACTGCAGCCTAGCACAGCAGCTGCTCTATAATGGAATCTCTGTTATCTTAGTTACTTTTCTGGTTGCTGAGACAAAATTCCTTGCACCTAAAGTTAAAGGAGAAAAGGTTTATTGTAGCTCAGTTTGTAGAGGTTTCAGTCCTCTGGCTCCAAGGAAGGGTGGTATAGCAGAGGGCATCACAGAGGAGCAACAGTCCATGGCAGGCAGAAAGCAGGAAGGCAGCAAAGCAGCAAAGTAATGAGGAACAGCAGCAGCCAGCCTGCCTTCTTTCAATCCCTTTATAGCTACCCAAGCTCCAAGTCCTTAGGGCAGGTAGCTCTCACCCATGATGGGCCTTTCCATTAGCCACACCCTGAACTATGCCAAACCAATCAATGGACTAACTTAGTAATCACACATTCTTAATTCCAGAATCACAAACCTTACATCTAGCTACCTCTAAAAAGCCCCACTTATGACCACATAAGGCTTTGAGGGGAGAGCTAGACCTAACTGTAACACCTGACTTAGGTAGCAACAGGAACTATGGGATACACTGAAGACTAGATGCTAGATACAGAAAAGATGAGTTTCCTTTCTTTTTCTTCCTTAGTTTCTTTTTCCAGGCCCTTATTCCCTAGTACCTCACTTTATGAGTAAAGACAGACTAGCTATACTTTCCCTCCCTACCATTCAAAACATCAACTCTGAGGTACTGATCCCAACTGGGTGTTAGAAAGAAAATAAGTGTTACACTTTTCACATTATATGGGCAACACCCCTTTTGATCTCCTACAAATACCTTCATTCTTTAGTAATGCCAATTAATTAGAATGACAACTCTCTAGAACAGATGGCAAATCAAAATCAAGAGAAGATATTCTGAATTCTTTGGGGACAGACATTCAGCACAAGAGCACACCTGCTTTATCTGATCTGCCTCCATTCCTGGAAGAAATGCCAGAAGACTTCTGTATGTGTCCTTGTTCAAGGTCACAGAATTTTCACTGGCTGTGTCGTTTTCTAGTCATGTGACCTGGAGCCTATCAGTTAGTAACTGACCTTTAGTTTCATTGACTGTAAAATAGGGAGAAAACCTGCCACAAAGGATTAAGATAAGAATATAAGCTTCATTAAATAAAGAGTTCAATGCTACTCTCTTACTACAGAAACAAACAAAAGAAAACCAATAGTGGGTGGCACAGAATGGGCAGTGACCGGGCTGGCCAAGGGAGTAAATGATTGGACCACAAGTAATGACACTCAGTCAGCAAACCATGTCATCTTTGCCCCTCATTTCGTACTGATTCAAACCAAACACTATTATGAACTACATGATAGACTTGCACCAATTAAAATCAGAAAATAGATTTTGCATTTTCACCCTTTCACTGAAAGAATGGACCACAAGTCCACCTGACAATAGCTTATTTTTACATAGAAGAGTACTGTGACTGATATGGGAGTCAAGATTATTTACTAAGGCAGCCAGATTTAGGCTAAGGTTTCTCAACCCTGGCATTCTTGATAACTGAGGCCAGATGATTTTTGTCAGGGGTCCAGTCTTGTGCATTGTAAATATTTAGTGGCACCCTAGTCTCCACTAGATGCCCAGAGTATCTCTCCTCTCTACTGTGACAACTGAAAGTTTCCCAACATAGGCAGATGTCCCTTGGTGAATGGAGTACTGCTCCTCCCACTTCCAGTTGGTAACTACTGATGTAGTCACACAGACAAACTTTAGGAAGGCAGGCTTATTTATGGAGCAATCATTATAGTCTCATTCATCTCAATCATCGTAACTGTGAAATGATACTATCATACTGTACACTCATCTTACAGATAACAGATTGAGACTTATGGAAGTAGCTTGTCTACATCACACAACTTGTAAGTGCCAATGTCAAGTGCTTCCCTTCCTTTAGGACCTTCTGAGGATTATCTGTTTTAATCATCTCAACAAAGGGTCAGTTACCTTGACTCTTCCTTTCATGCATTGGGCATCCTGAGGGTGGTGATGCTGTCTGATGATCTGAAGCTTTTGGGGTCTGAACTGCAACAGCAGGAGTAGATGCTGACAAACCCATGGCTGGAATCAAAGTGTTGACTCCAAACAATTTTAAATGTCCAGCTGCCGAAGTAAAGAGACAAATTAACGCTGATGGTTAGAATCGGACTATTCCCTCGTTACTGTAATATGGCTAATCCTTTTCTTCCTCCCTGTCATTCCTTGGGAACCTACTGGCAGGGCACTCACTTTAAGACACAGCTTTAAATACACTGACCCTTTTGGGAAATCCGTTGAAATCTAGGCCACCCTCTGGGGACACAATTCTAAGAGAGTGGGAATTTGGCGGTCGAAGCAGCGCGGTTTCTGGGGTTCCAAGTCACAATGTCGTGGTGGGGTGGGGGAGGGGAGGTATACTACCCAATACTCGACCTTCAGTCCCTAGGCTTTAGCCAGCAGTGTGGCACAGAAACGCGACTTCGGGGAAGGAAGGGAGAATGACAATAACAAACGGGGCGCTGCCAATTCTCCCCGCTCCAAGCTCGCTCGCCCCACCGGCTCCAGCCCGCGGTTCTCAGACCCCACCGGTCACTGTCAGCATCACCTTAGCCACCTGAGTCCTCCCCAGAGCTACCTCAAGCCGCCTGCTCCACCACTAGCCGCCAGCCCCAGTCAGAGACCAAGGAGCAACCACCGCCTACCACTACCTTCACCTCACCGGGTCACCGCTGTCGCTTCGGTCACAACTGGCGTGGTAGCTCAGCTTTCCTTCCTTTACCGAAGGCGGGACTTCCGGGCGCGTGGAGGCGGGCCTCAGGCCCAAGTGAAGAGGCTTCCGTCACTCACAGAAAATAGGTCCCACCCTCTCCACGTTTTGACCTATCACCGTGTGGGCCCACTCTGTGGCTCCGCCTCTGACGGTCGGGCGGGTTTTTCGACTCTTCAGAGCTGTCTGACAGAGTTTGCGTGGGATCCTGAGGCTGCCTTGGACAGATCTTTCCTATACATGATTTAGCGGCAGACGGGGTACTTTGGAGGAAGTTTTAAATTGCTGCTTTTTAAAAATGTAACCCTATCAGGTATTTTGCTTTTGCATTTTTACTTTTTAATTGGCATATATAATATTTGTATTTATTTACAAGGTAAAGTACCATAATTCAGTACATGTAGACTATGTATAATTAAATCAAGTCCCAGGAATGATTCAAGAAACATCAGTAAGTGTCTAGAGCTGTGGCTGGCTCCAGAGATACAAAAATAAACAAGATAGGATTCTGCCTCCAAAGCCGCCTTAACTGGGTGTGTGCACATTGGATGTCCGTATTTTCATTTAGCTCCAATAGAAATTTAGCATTTGCCGCCATCAGTAATGTAGGTAACAAATTCTGTGGATGGAGAATGTGAACACACCAGGTTGATTATTGATTACCAGGCATAGGGAGGAGGAAAATCTGTGGGCAAGAGAGGTTTCTATGGTTTCTGTGGAAAGGAACAAGTGAGGCAGGGTAATAAGTTTAAGACTGTCTAATTTGAATAACTTCAGTTAGTCATGGGGTACAGGGGCTACAGGCATACAGAGGCTGGGGCACAGGGGCTGCTTCCAGAATTTTGATACCTAGTCATGCAGTGATTAGGGTAGGTGTATTGTGCTTTAGAGTATGAGACCCCAATAAGGGAGGTGGTTGGAGATATGGACTTAATCAGCTTCCATGAAGGGGAAACAGTTACCCTCTAGCCAGGGCCTTGAAATTGGATCAATATAACATTTTAGAAAACTATATTAAACCTGCATATAGTGTATTTCCTGGGGAATCAGGGCTATTGTAATCACAAATCTTTTATTTTTTAATATGTTCCTGACTTTATATTTCAGTGCAATTGGATTCTTGTGTAGTTCCTTTTATTTTGTTGTATGCACATTAAAAACATTATTTTGGAAATGCTTTCATAGATTTCACCAAACTCCAAAGGGTCTAGGGCACAAGGAAGGGCAAAAATCCTTGCTAAGGACAAAGAAAGATGTACAAAGAACCATGTTTCTATCCCTATATATGTACATGCAGACATTTCTGTGGCAAGAAGAAATGGTTCTTGTAATGGTAATGAACAGGGGGTGGAGAGAAAAGGGAAGAGTATGTGTTAGCAATATTTTGTACAGGAAGAGATCCTAAAGCCAAATGTTAAATGAAGAATAGTATGTGGGTAAGAAGACTGGTGGAAACTCTTTCATGTCCTATTTCCACATTCTGAAGGCAAACACTTACTGCTTTTTAACTGTTCTGCTTTGTACCTTTCTCGTTCAACCAAAGAACATGCTAATATTGACATATACATCAACACACACACACACACACACTCACTGCAGTTTGAGGTTTAGTTAATTTCCATCACAGAGGGTGGTTAACAATGGAATTTTGATGCTTTCAGTCTCACCTCTCATTCCTCCTGACATGAGTGCACACAGAAACATATTTTTATCCTCGCCCCCATGCCAATGTTATATATAATTTTAGGTAAATTGGGAGTTAGTATTTATGTTATTATGACTATGGAAATGTTATTTGTTGCTAAGTTATATTAGTGATAGAGCTTTCTTGTAAAATGTTTTGCTAGAATTTAATGCTTGCCTTGTTTTCTTCTTATTGTCTAATTTGTAGATGAATGCCCTTTAGTTTCCTCTCAGCATTGTAACTCAGCATGATGCACTCAAACATATGAACAACTCTGTAGGTGTCATTTTTCCCTGAAGACTGCTATCCTAGGTAAGAACTAGATCCTTGCCATTTTGCAATTCCACAATCTTTTGCACTGGACTTCTGCCACTTGTCTTCTGGGATGCCCTTTCAATGTTTTCCTGTTGCGTGTTGGATCTGTGATTCCTGGATGCCATGTATTCTTTGCATTTTGGGTGGGGGCAAGCACATTAGCTTTAAGATCTTGAAAACCCAAAAATGTGTGTATTTTGCCTCCTTGCCTGCTTGGTAATTTGGGTTTATAATTCAAGGTCTGGAAAACATAGCATTGAGAATTTTAAAGGAGCTACTTTAGTGTCTTTTAATTTCCATTTAGCTGCTAAGAATTCAAAGGTCTTTTTTTTCTTCCTCAATATTTTGAAAATCTTCTCTTTCTTCTAAGTGACCTGAAAATATGTGCCTTGATATGGGCCTCTGCTTTCATTCATTTTATACTAGCTAGGACCGTGCAGTCTGGAAAGCCATTTCCTTCATGTTGGGGATAACTTCCTTTCTCCTTCTCTGATTTATTCCTGTTTTTTTAGCTTGTTGCTACTCATATGGTAGATTCCCTAGACTTAAAATCTAATTTTCTTGTATTTTCTCATATGTTTTTATCTGCTTTTCTAATTTGCCTATTTTTAGGAAATTTTAAAAATTTACAATCACTGATTTAGGTTTTCGGGAGCTATCACATTTTCAAATTCCAAGATGCATTTGTATATATTTGTATGTACAGAAGTCTTCCCTTGTACGTGCAGCATATGTTTTGAGACATCCTCCTGAAACTCCATAGTACCAAATCTTACATATAGTATATTTTCCTTATGCTTTGCTTCGTTTTACCATATGCTTCTCAAATAAGGTTGATTTTGCTGCCCCATCCAGATGGTATTTGGCAATATCTGGAGGCATTTTTGACTGTCATACTGGTGATATAGGTTGCTACTAGCAACAAGCAGGAAGAGGCCAGGGATAGTGCTTAATACCCTACAACACACAATAAAACTCTTGCAACAAAAAATTATCTGGCTCTAATATCAATGATATCAAAGTAGAGAAACTCTATTCTGAGAAAACCAAAAGCCAAAACTTCTTCCCCTTGATACCCAGCAGCTAGAGCATGAACTCCTACCTCCTCAGCTTGGCTGTACATGTGTGTGTGCACGTGAAATAGTGAGAGTAGGACTGAGTTGACTTATTACCCCTTCTTTTCTGCACCAAACCAACACAGTTGTTATTGTTTAAATGTAGATGTCCCCCAAAAGTCTCATGTGTTCAGAGGTGGGCTTTTAGAAGGGGATTGGGATCATGGAGGTGATACACTCAGTAGTTGAATCCACTGATAAATCCATAGCCAACTGTGCTGTTAGGAAGCGGGTCCTGGGGAGAAGTCAGTTTACTGGGGGAGTGACTTGGAAGGGATTATCTCTTGACATTCTTTTCCTATGTTGGAGCCAGCTGACCAAATCTTCTAAAAACCTTGAGCCAAAATAAAGCTCTTCTCCTTTAAATCTTAAGTGTGAGATATTTTTGTCCTAGTGATAAGGAAAGTAACTAAGACAGTCATTTTGAAGCTGAAATGGGGACACATACTATGATACAGTAGTAAGAATTATTTTTTTTTATTTTGGGGGTTATTATGATTAAGTTGGTGACCCACTTGTTGCCACAAGTGGGCCTTTATGGGTGACTGAATTTAATATGATGGACTAAAAAAGATGGAGCAGAACTGATAAGAATTAATGATATGAGCAGCACTGCTCTAAAAAGAAGTCTGTAGAGTAGGAAAAACCTATGTGGAAAACAGTGACAGAGTATTACCTAAAGGAGTGGAGATTTGATCTTTTTTTCCTTGTGGAAATAATCAGTATTGTATTCAGTTTATGAATGGCTACAAGTGTTGAAGAGAAATAGGGGTAATTGTGGGGTTATGCTAGTTAAATTTCCAGTGGGCATTGGCTTTGGTGGTCATTTTTTGAAAGTATAATCTGCAGCTGAGAAACTTCCAATATTATTATTCTTTTGAAGAAAATAAACATGGTAGACTATAGTTGTCTGAAATTATCATCATAATGAGAAAGCTAATGTCAGTAGGTAAGAAAGGTATAAAAGACATGACTATTGATTTGAAAAATATATAGGTGTAGTCAGGGGTTGTGCAGAGAACAATCAGATTAAGGACATGGAGTTTATAATATGATTTTATAATGGTCACCGGGAGTTAACATAAGAAAATGCAGGAAATCTATCCGCAACACCAAAATCATAGAATATTTAGTCAAGAGACTAAATCCCACAGCAGTGTCCTACATGAGTCCAGATGAAAACCCAGAGCTCAAGACAATGCCTCCCATGAGTTCAACCGGAGGTCCAGAGCCCACAAGAAGGACTCACCCCAGTCCCTTTTACAGATCTGTGCTGCGAAGGCCCAATGGTCAGTGGTGGAAGCCAGAAAGTCTATGCCATCAGGGTGAAGGAGCTGTGCTGATAGGTTGAGTTCTACACTGGAGCTGAGAAGTCACACTCAGAACAAAACCAGGGCTGTCCTGAAAAGCACCACAGCCATCCTCAGCTACACGGAGGTCCTGAGCTCCTCCTCCGACAAGCAAAGTCCAGTTCATGCCAGGAAGCCAGCATGATGAGTTCATCTTAGAGACCAAGAGGCACATGTCTTCCCCTCCAGAGCCAGGAAGCAATGCTCAATGTGAGGACCAAAGCTCCTCCAGTGTTGTAACCCCCCACCCAAAAAAACAAGGCCCCATGATGAAAAATGGGGCAAGACCCCCAAGATGATAAATGGGGCAAGATGACGTCTTTTTTAAAGGGAGCACTTTTATTTTAGTTGGCCCAGCGACACAGTGCAGATGGAATTTGCAAAGCTGTGCAACTGAGTTAAAATTTTGACTGATTTTTCTAGTTCAATTATGATTAGCTCATTGATCATTAAGTACATAGCGATGAGAAACAGAAACAAAGTGGGCCTGTGTTCCCCTTTGCTTGAGGGCAGAGGCATTTCACAGTGGGTGGTTAG